CAAAGTTTGTATACGGGGACTATTAAGTCATCATTTATTGATAGATTGTAACAAAAATGATAACTATCATGGCTACAAGTTTGACACATGTAATTTAAGTATATATTTGACAGGTCAAGGTCACTAGAGATGATAAACAATCCAGATAATCTGGATATTTCCCAGAGCATATCTCCTATATACATATCTATAATGCCCACATCTCTGACAAAATATTTTGTGATGGGTGGATTTTGCGACAATGTTGCTCTTGTGTAAAATATGTTTACGTGAAAATGGCATCTGTTCCTTACGTACACATGTTTTGGTGTTTTGTGTTCTTCAGAATTTAGCGAAACCACTTCGTATGACAGAACTTCAAGGTGAAACATTTGAAGTTTTGCAAGGAATTTTTGTAGATGATTCGACAGAAGAATTTAATGAAGAGACGCATGAAGAAATGAGAAATTTACAGGTTTGTTGTTATTTCTTTTAAATGATTTATTCTTCCTAGAGAATGGTATAGCTTTTTTATTGCACACTGTACATTGGTTAAATCAAACGATCACAACCACACCTGATTGTTAGACTACATAATAGAGTCATTTCATCTAAAATCTCCTTGTTGATCTTTGTCTCCTTGTTATGCTTGTAAAATTTAAATTTCCAAAAATTATATTTTAGCGTAATCAGTGCTTTTTTCTTTTTAAATACATTTCACAAATAAAAATTCAAGTGGCATGAAGACGAAACTTAAATATAAATAAATTAGACATGTATTTTTTTACCTAAGACGAATATACTCGAATAACAGGCAAACATATTTGAGCCGAGCCATGACAAAACCAACATAATGGGTTTGCGACCAGCACGGATCCAGACCAGCCTGCGCATCCGCTTAGTCTGACCAGGATCCATGCTGTTCGCTTACCAACTCTATTACAAGTAGATAAACTGATAGCGAACAGCATGGATCCTGATCAGATTGCGCGGATGCGCACGCTGGTCTGGATCCATGCCGGTCGCAAACCCATTATGTTGGTTTTGTCATGACGCTGCTCATTTTATATTTACCGGAATACATTAAAAATATAAGTTTGTGCTGATTACAGTTTTAGTTTATTAATGCTGAAAATGTTTGTGCCACTTCTTGAACATATTTTGTTCATGTACCATTTAAAACGATTAAGTTTTGTTTTATATTTCTAAGGAATGATGGAGAGACCTGACAGGTATGATATTGAGGTATAGTGAGCCTAGAGGAATAAAGTTCTAAAGACGAAGGAAATGGGAACTGTTAATTAAAAAATAGAAACAATTGTATGATGCCTCTTTGTTTGTGTGTTGTTGTTTTTTTGTAAGTGTTTTTTGTGTTTTTCTTCTGTTAGTACCGTTTTTGTTTTGTTTCTTTTTACTTTTAGTGTGAGTGGATTTGATGTTGTTATTCTTCTTGTAATTTGCTAATTATAGAAAAGAACGGTAAAGAAGAAGTCTTTGTTCAAATGTTATTTTATGAATACGATGTATTACTTTCTCTCGTAAATGTATTTACAATGTTGTGACCAATGAACTAATGTAAACCCTTTTTTAAATAATACTTCATTCTTGTAATATTATTACGAACATATACGATTCGTGACATTTTTAAGTATTATGTTTCTTTTGACATTACCTTTAAATGAAATAAAAATATAATGTGTTATTTACACTTATTTATAACATTTTGTATTACAGTGTTTACTTTATCCTACAACAAAACAAAATATGTAAAGAATGATCGTCATGCTTTTTTCTACATTTGAATTACATCCAGGGAATTTAGAAGATTCATGTACTATGTTAGGCACGAAACGTCAAGTCATTTCATACCATGTCTTGCCTATGCCACGCTACTGTCAAAGAATCAAATTTCAAGATAATCAGCGGAAACCATTCAGACATTTAAGGCCCCTGTAACCTTGACCTTTGACACTAAAATCATCAAAAGAGGTCGTGTACTAGTAATGACCAATCAATATGTGAAATATGAAGACTTTGTGATAAATAGTAACCAACAAAATATGTGGAAATCATATTACAAATCAAGGCCCCGGTGACCTTGACCTTTGACCTAGTGACCCCAAAATCAATAGCGGTTATTTACTAGTTATGACCAATCAATATGTGAAATATGAATACTTTGTGATGAATACTTTTAAGAAAATCAGCAGAAACCATTCTGACATTTAAGCCCCTTGTGACCTTGACCTTTGACCTAGTGACCCCAAAAATAATAGGGGTCATTAACAAGTTATGACCAATCACCATGTGAAATATGACGACTTTGTGATGAATACTTTTCAAGATAATCAGCGGAAACCATTTTGACATTTAAGGCCCCTGTGACCTTGAACATTGAACTAGTTCTCCAAAAATCAATAGAGGTCATCTACTAGTTATGACCAATCACTATGTGAAAAATGAAGATAAATAGTTTTCAAGATAATCAGCAGAAACCATCTGGTCTACCGATGGACAGACAGACCGACAGGCAGACGGACCGACAAACAGACAGACAGACAGACCGACATTAGCAAAACAATATACCCCCTCTTCTTCGAAGGGGGCATAAAATGTATAAGATACCACTTTATCATATAGTTTTTTAGTATACAGGAACAGTGAGAGAGGATATATCATAGATAAAGTATTACCCAAAGATAAACTACTACTGACTTTATTAGCATCAATTAAATATGATACATAATGTTCATTTACATGGTTAGCATGTATAAGCATCTTGGTACTAATAAATCAATTGTTACCACCTCTAATTTAACATTATCATTTTTTCTATAACAAAGACTGTTTATGTCAAAATCACTAAGACGTAAGTCAAGTTTTTGCAGAATGCAAACAACACATCACAACTGGTTTATCTAAAAAGGTCCATGATGTTAAAGATTTTGAAAAAATGTGTGTCGTTGATGCTTATGACAGAACTATTATTCTAAATGACATGTACACCTTCACCATGATAACATCGTGCATAATATAATAAACAAATTGAATGAATGTTTGGTGCAAAATTTAAAAATAAAATCACAACAAAACATAAAATGTTTAAAAACAAAAACACTACATAGGCAGGGCAACATGCGTCCGAATCCAAATTTGTTTCAAGTAATCAAAATAATCTTAAGTACAGAGAATGATTTTCTAATATAAGTAGCCACTTAAGCAGTGCCGATGTTGACATAAAAGCATTTGTAAATATCACTATTGTAAAAATCCACAATGGAATGCTCATGCCGTATGCTTACCTGTAACATAATATATTTCTGGGCATATAAAATGTGTGCTTATTTAAATGCTTCTTAAATGCAGTCATTCAAAAGATCTGTAGTAGCAATCCGACAAACATTATGCAACGAATAATATTGGTACATCTTCTTTTGAACATCTCTATTATAATAATGTATCATGATATCAGACACAACAACTCGATATCAGACCAGCCAACCATATCAGTCTTCAAATAAGGCGAAAGCTGCATAAGAGAAGCACTGTTGTAATAGATAACAAATGCTTCTACCTCCGACATTCATGTTCAAAGTTTTGCCCACTTTCCTTTTAATAAAATACAATATATATTCCTAATTGTAGTTCAGTGAATTTACATATCTTATGTTTTAATCATAAAGAAATATGTTTTGATTTCAAAAATTAAAGTCACATACTTTTCAATTATAATTTCAACAATAATAATAATAAAAATAATCTAACAAGAGTCTAAAAAGCTGCATGCCTCCAGATGAGCCAAAATATGTCAAGAAAATTAAACTTGAGAAAATGTACTAAGGTTTCAAGAAAAGTAAAAATTTAACGATTCGAGTAATGAATTTACATGTTTTGTGCTATTAAAGGCTAATTTTGCAGTACTTATCACCATTCTTCTACTGCGTTACTAACGCAGTAGGGGCTATTTTTGCTTATTTTGACCTCTTTTTGGTAATTTACGTGGCTTGCAAATGCTGTTTGCAATGTGGAAAGTTTTTTTCTTTGATCATTTAACAATATTTTACATTTAAATACATTTTTAAAATTTTCATGAAAATGAGCATGAATCTGGAGGCATGCTGCTTTAAACAAAAATCATATTTGAATTTTATATTTTATGAAATAAGGGAAGGTAAAAAGCTTATTAACTAATACATACACAGTAATCTTCCTTTGATACATACACACATAAGGATCTTTTAAGCTTCAGAGTTAGCAGCAGAAAATAGAGTGAAATATAATCCCTAAAAAAAGTCAAAACGGTAAAATTGAAAAGGTTGCAGATTCGATGTTAATAACCTTGTTGATGAATAATACTGGAAAGTGAAAGCTACTTCTACGCCCACTAGGATCAGCTTAAGAATAATGTGGTAATGGTGAACTTTTGAATAAAAACATCCGCAGATGTGTTTATATGGCGATTATCATGGAACCTTCAATGGGACACGTAAGTGCCAGTCCATAAAAAGGGCTGAATAGCCCCAAAGTAAAAATAGGTGTGCGTTTTTTTAACATAGTGATGGTGAGATTTTAAATTTAATACATTCAATGAGGCGGCACATATATGCCATTCCATTAAAAGATGCTTATGGTCACAAAGTAAAAGATTGCATGCGCCTGCGTTCTCGATATGTATCGTAAAGTTTAAATTCCTTACATGGGTTATAAAGAAACAGGATGGACACGATATTTTTTAGTTAACATACATTGACTTAGTGTGACCTTGACCCAAGGAAATCGAAATCTGTTTTCGCTCTGCAGTTCGTCAAAACATGGTTAATACTATTAAGTATCTATATCGTTTAAAATCAAGATCATTTAGATCAAGTTAATGCTCTTCATACCACAAACAACATAAATTGTTTTAATGCATAGTTTTTTGGGGTTTATTTTGTTTTTGTTTTTTTGTTAACAAAATTCGGTCCTTTTTTCTTTTCTTATTCCTCTTTTCCTTTTTTTCTTAGTAACCTGTTTGTTTGGGGGGGGGGCGCTAATATGACATGACGAGACAATATGGAACTAGAACTGCCACAGTCATGGCTTGAATATGCCCGCATACAACTTTGTCAGAATCAACAGTGGCCATTTAGAGCTGAAGGACAACCTCCCTGCCAAATCTGCCATTACTAAGCAAGTGCATTGCTAACTTATGTATTCTACATGCTTCAAATGTGAAGATGTCAAAATCAATACACTGCGGACAGGCGTTCTTTAGCATTTTAGCAGACAAGGTTATTATAGTAAAAAAATCCCTGTGACCTTGACCTTTGACACAGTGACCTAAAAATCAAAGGGGTCATCTGCTAGTCATAAACAACCTCAATACAAGATATGAAGACTGTTGACCAAAGCATTCTAAAGCAATTGAGCGGACATTTTTTTAAGTCAAGGCCCCTGTTACCTTGACCTCTGACCCGTGACTTCAAAATCAATAGGGGTCATCTTATTGTCATGATCAACCTCCATGCCAAATATGAAGACTGTGGGTCAAAGGTTTCTTAAGTTAATGGGCAGACAAACTTTTAATTCAAGGCCCCTGTGACCTTGACCTTTGACCCACGACCTCAAAATCAGTAGTGATCATCTACTAATCATGACTTACCTCCATGCCATATATGAAGACTGTGGGTAAAAGAAATCCTAAGTGTTTGGACGGACAAGCTTTTTTAGGTCTTTGTCACCTTGACCTTTGACCTGGTGACTTCAAAATCAATAGGGGTCATCTTCTTATCAAGACCAATCTCAATACAAAATATAAAGACTGTGAGTCAAAAGAATCTTGAGTTTTTGAGGGGTCAAGCTCTTTTTAGTCAAAGTCCATGTGACATTCACCTTTGACTCAGTGACCTCAAAATCAACAGGGGTCATTTACTCATCATGACTAACCTCCATGCCAAATATGAAGATTGTGGGTCAAATGACTTTAAAGTTATTTGGCGCCCCTGTGACCTTGACCTTTGACCTTGTAACCTTAGAATCAATAGAGATCATCTTCTAATCATGACCAATCTAAATACCAAATATGAAGACTGTGAGTTAAAGGAATCTTAAGTTATTGGGCGGACAAGGAAAAACCAACGGACGGCCGGACGGACAAGCTGATTCCAGTATATCCCCCTTACATCTTCGTTGTGCGTGGGTATAAAAATACGATGATACAACTACATTTACATGTAAAATTGTGCATATGCGTTTAAGTAAGAAATATGATACATATTTTACAAAGCAGTATCTAAATGTGCAAGTTATGACCGACAGAAAATAAACATTTACAAGATATTCCCAATTAACACTTCTACATTACATTAAGTAATGATATCACAAATATTGGTCAAGAAAACACACCACACCAACTAAAGCAAACTACAACACTAGGCTTTCTAACAGAAACCTAAACGTTCTTAAATTCATTGTTAACAGCTATAAAAGTAAATAAGTAGCATACAATCAGTATTTAGCAACTGCAGCAATTATGGTAACAAAAAGTCTCAACTGTTGTCCATGACAGATGCAAAAAAGACTGCAATGTAATCTTTATAGTTTTAGTGTTTTCACTTCATCTTCCATTATAGCAAGCACCTTTTCTTTCCTACGTTGACAATCCTCAATAGACAGTTGGTCAACCGGATCCGACAAGAAAGTATACAGATCATGAATTTCTTGTTCACTTGTGTTGACATAGTAGGCACAAACCATTCCAAAACTGGACCATACCTAGGTGAATAGTCCATGAAATAGAAACCGTTCTTTAAAAAGTCAAAACCAATACTATAAATTATCAACATCCAAATAAGTATTAAATCGAAATTAAATTTAATGAAGTGTGGCATTATCAAAGTAATCATAATTGAATGGTTTAATGTTTAAAAAGGAAAACTCGTGTTAAATTTTTAGAATGGAGACGAATACGGAAATAAGAATTAACAAATATTTTACAATATGGTAAATCAATAACGGCAGTGTTCGTTTTTTTTATATTTATTATCAAAAGTATGGCTGTTACATTTCTTAAAATACATTTATAGGTACACTTTAGAAGAATAAGTGAAACCTACCTCTGTGATATTATTAGTTGATTTATCTAGATCTGCTTTAAAATCCTCATCATGGATTTCCTCAAGAAGAGCCTCAACAACATCATTTTCTTCGATTAAAGTATTGAGTTTTACAGCAAAGTTTTCCCAAAAGAAAACTATTTTCTTAAAATGCTCTCCTACCACTCCTAGTTCTTGGCAGGCTTTTTCAAGGCTTTTTTCATCGATCTCATTGGCTAAAAATGGAAAATGTGTACAATGTTGTAAGGCACCAATGAAATTACCTTACCTTAGTTTTATAAACATGTAAATCGAAACATATAACATTAAATTGATTTCAATTTTAATAATAAAAAGAAGTTAACAGCCTTCTTGTCACTCTAATGATTTTAGTTGAAATGTTTTGAAATTATATGGTAAGATTTTAATATTTGATTAAATCAGTGTCTGGACTTGTATAAATAAATTTGTTCGGTACTGTACCACTTTTTAAAACCAGTTTACGCAGCATTGTTATCTTTACTATCGAATCGTCTCTTATCTTGAACATTCTTTTTTCAGCATCATCTAAAGTATTTTCTGACTTTTCGATTTTTTTTGCCACTTTATCACCAGCATCAACAGCTTTCTTGCTCTACAACAATAGCGACCATTTATAATATCAGATAGACTTAGTTCTGATTGAATTGAGTATTCAATATTTTAAATCTAATATTTTAACAAAGATATTTGGAAGCAAAATAGGTTTTGAAGCGGCTTTTTAAAAATCATGTTCTATCTTAAGTTTATAAAACAAATTTTCTTTTTAAATAAAAAGAACACTTTATACCAAAAAAGAACAAAAAGGAACTTGAATAATCTTAACGATCAAACGATATTTTTGAGTTCAATCGAAGACACGTGATAAACCATTCCTTCTGAAAAGGAACATAAACTATATCAAAAAAATAAAATAAAATGACTAAAAACGCATATTCCATTTTATTTATTTAATACAATCAATATATGCTTAAATGAACCTTACTGCCTGACTTCTCCTACAATGACTTGCAACCAAACCTCCAAACAGAACAGCGCCACCAAGAACTGGACCTCCATATGCAGCTGCAGCAACTGATGCTCCGGGAATAAATAGGCCATCTATTATCGATTCTCTTTCTTTACAATCTTCAGTTTGAACTACAAAATCATTCAATTGAATACCAATTAAAATTCAGCAGATTTCCAATTAAAGATAATTATAGCTCACAAAAGGTAAAAATATTAACATGGCGTATAAAGATTTGAAAAAAAAACTTTGAAAATTTTTAGATTTACTCAAAGCTTGCGTAAAAGAGAAAATAATGTCGTTAATATTAATGACACTTTCAAATTTAAGTCCTGAAAGAGATTTTTCTCTATTCAAAAAGGCTAACAGTCCATGTCAATGTCATGGACCGTGTGAACTGATCTCCAATTATGATCAAGATGTCAATATTTAAGTTTCAAGTGAATACATTTATTAGTTTTAAAGCTGGTTATTGCGTGCAAAGCCGGCAGACACGTATCAAGATTAAAATGGATAACTTAAGTAGCGTTAAAGATTGATGCTGCATTCAAAACATAAACAAAGTATTCCGATGTTCAAATATGGCCATAATATAGTCAAAAGCCATGCTAGAGTTATGGTCCTTTGACTGTGTAGACTGTGTACTCCTATTACGGTCACAAAGACATGTATAAAGTTTCAAACGAATACCTTCAGCAGATTTGAGGATTGATGCTGCAAGCAAACTTAAACGAAAGATTCACTCAAGTGTCATAATTCAGTCAAAATCCATGCTAGGGTTAGGGACTTTTGAACAATTCTGGAAAATTATATTACTATCCCACAGACATGTACTGAGATTCAAATGAATGTTTTAGTAGTTTTCGTGTAAAACCGTAACAAAGAATTTTAAATGTTGACAAAATGGCAATAAACCAGTCCGAACCATTGCCTCAGTTATGGACTATTGATATTGACCTCAAATTATGACCCCGAAGAGAGGTATAAAGATTCAAATGAAAACTTCCAATAGGTTCTTGTACATTGTTGTTGCATGTAAAATTTAAACTTAGCATGTTCAAAGTTCAAAAAGTGCAAAAATTAAATCAAAATCCATGCCAAGTATTTTGAGCCTTCAACTATGAGCACAGAGACATGTAGTTAGATTCAAGCGAATAACTTTAGAATGTTTATGAATTGGTGTTGCATGTAAGGCTTTTAAGACGAATTTTCAAAATTGGTTCGAAAAGCGCAGTATTTTCTTCTGTTAAAAGCATGTTAGCGTCTAAAAAAAAGTGATCTTGGAAAGTGATCTTCTATATGTTCTAAACTAAATGTGTAAAGTATTTTATATGTTCTGAACTAAATGTGTAAAGTATTTATCCATTTCCTTCAGTAGTTTTTGAGATTTCAACTTGCACGTAATAAAAACTTAACCGAAGTATGACGGCGATTCAGATGCCAGAATGAGTACAATAGCTCTCCCCATTCTTCGAAATGTCAGGCTTAAAATGCTTGCTCTCATACATGAATGCATACATGCATGCAGCCACACTCATAATTGCTCGAACACGTTAATGTTTTCATTTCAAATAAATTATATTGACATACTTGATTTGTCTAGATAATCAAGATGCTTCTTTTCTAATCCTTTTATTTCCTCTGCAATTTTTTCTATTTTGACTTGTAACAAGTCATATTCGACTTTCCTTGAAAGTAGTAATTCTTTCAATTGTTTTGCTTCTAATTCTATGTCGGTTTTCATACTCTTCACTTCTTTGTTTTTATCAACTATATCAGAAATCTGGTCTTGTACTTCTCCTTTTATAGCATAGTACCTGCAACGTGCAGAACAAATTTGTGTCTATTCATTCTATTTGTCCTGTAATACTTAAATTATTATTTGCCAACTGACGAAATATAAAATAAACATAAAAAATTTTTTCGAGTTAATCTGAACTTTCCTTATCAATGAGAGGGAGGGGGGCTAAAAGATCCTGGAAAATTAAAGAAACCCCTTGGTAGAGCCTCCTTTCAAAATTTCAAGAGTTGGGTTCTGATCAACTGCATGTCCGTTTAAAATTGATATTTATTACCTTATTAACTACTTATTCTAAAAAATGTAGATGTGTTTGAACCAAAAATTGTATGTGTATATATTATTCATTTTTCAGGTTGTTTATAGGCAACGAAAGAGATTTATCGCTTTGTTTAGGCAGATTTAAGTAAGTTTAGATAATATCTAAAATATCTGCTTACCTGTCTGTTGTGTCCTTAGTTTCTTTGATCATTCTGTTTACATATCGCAAGACTTTTTCTAAAATCTTTTTAATAAGTTCCACTTTCTGTTTATTTAAGAAATAAGAGAAAAAATGTAACAGGTAATTCATACGCAAAATCCAGTCAGAATCAAGTTTGGTTTCTATAAACGTTTCCATTTTAATATTAAATAAGAGAAAAAAAAATACAGGTAATTCATACGTAAAATTAAGCCAGATTCAAGTCTGGTTTCTATAAACGTTTCCATTTTTATCTTCCCTAAAAGTTAAATTGTTAAATAAGAAATAAAATGTCCAGCACACCCATGTCATAATTGGTTTAATCACATTCGTAGCAATGTTGAGTTACACGTGCTTCGGTTTACATTTGGGCAGCTAACAAAATAGTATGAAATTTTAGAATACACAACTTATAATCCTTTTGAAATCCTTAATGTTTTACAAAATTCTAAAAATGAATGTCTTTTGAAGCAGATCTCAATATACTTTGCCAGAAATCCCTTATGCATTCTTATTTCGTCCCATTGAAAATAATTTCTCATAAATAAAAAATATGGTTGAATTTTTCTCATATCACTCCAGAGTTGTTGACTTTCTCTTAAAGAGAAGAGTTTTCTAGACCTCGATACTCTGAGGGTACATCCCTCGTCACCCTCGTCACCCATATCGGCCATTTTGGTTATTATCATTTCACTTATTACATGTCCCTCTCCTTATTTCTCCGCCTCCTGTGCCCTCCTCTGGATTTGATTCGGTGCATTCTGGGTGCCGTGCTGGTGCGGCTAGCTTTGCGTGAATGTTGCATTGCCTTATTGATGTTTGTTTTCATTTTGTACTGTAAATTTGCAACTGGCATTGAGCTTAACAACTGAGGTTTATAAGTATTGAGCCTCATTTAATAATCAATTTTAAAAATGACATCACGAAAATTGCTTTAACATGCTCTTAACTATGTGGCATAAATTTCTCACTAAGTGGACTCAGTTTCGATTTCCCGTAATTTCCATTCGAATGTGAATAAACGTCAAAAAAATGAAGAAAAATAAAGTAACTCTGGAAAGATTATTTCTAACAGTAATTACACAATTTCATGATAATTTTTTTGTGAGAAAAATCATTTCTTTTAAGACCTTTCTTATGGTAAATTAAAAATAGCAATACACAATTTCATGAATTCTGGGACATCCTTTCATAGTTAATTTTTTCAAAGATAAGTTATACATACATGAAATAGTATCTTACTGTATAGTATCGTATTATAAGGCTTTTGCTTCTATGCACAGTTTGCAATTGTTAAATGCCATTTGTGTCTAGTATGTTAAGGCGATTTTAATCACAATAAAAGTGGAGAAGAATCTTTTACTTATAAATTGTATCTAAAAAAGATAATCATCCTGTATGAGGATTTTTGTTTTATCATAATGTTGATACATTTTCAAAGGAGTACAAATCTTAATTCTGTTAATATTCGTCAAAATAAGCCTTTAAAATATAAGAACAGTTCTTCTTTTTCTATTCATCATTAAAAAATTAAAATAAAATAAACAGCAAACACTGAATTGAAAAAATATATATTTAAGCTAAATACCTAATTATATTTCTGTATGATTTGTAATAAATATTTGTATCTTTACATGCATATTTTGTATATTTGTATGTATGTATGTATGTATGTACGTACGTACGTACGTACGTACGAATGTATGTATGTATGTATTTTGTATGTATGTATGTATGTATGTATGTACGTATGTACGTATGTACGTACGTACGTATGTATGTATTTTTGTATGTATGTATGTATGTATTTATGTACGTACGTATGTATGTATGCGTACATGCATGCATGTTTATGTGAAATTAACTAAAACAAACAAAGATAAGATAAAGATCAAATATCACCAAGTACTCTACAATTTAATCATATATAACATAATTTTTCACCTGTTATAAAGTCTCAAGTAAACGTGAAATACAATGAATTACACAAATACATGGATCAGTCTACATTCCTTACAGTTCCCCGTTCTTTCGTTTGGTTTATATGAACGTCATAGTGACTCAGTTTCAATTTAAGGTTTTATGGTTGTACACTTATACATGTAAAGCCTGTTTCTTCGACATTGAAACTATAATAGCTACATAAAATGATAGAGGGTAAGGATATAAAAGAAAATGCAAACAACTCTTTGAATGCCTTATTCTGTTTTTATGCTACAAGAAACCTACTCAACAAATCAATCATAAAAGGAAATGAACGGAGAGGCATGAATTTTTCAGTGGAAATAAGTCAAACAAAGAAGATGTTGGATTTGATTTGAAAAAAAATCTGAATAAAATGGAACTAAATATTGAAAGATAAATAGCACTTGAAGTAACAATAAATGTAAAAGCTTTCACCTTGCTGACCATTTATGGCCCAAATGATGGTAAAATAAAAAAAAATCGCTTAAAGATTTTATTCTTAAAAACGATGATAATAATTGTATAATCGGTGGCGACTTTAATACAGTGATCAATACAAATATCGATATAAAGAATGGAAAACGTCAACAAGTAGAAAATGTCGACATAAAATAATCGGTATGATAGAAACATGAGTTTAAGTGATATCTGGCGCATTAAACACCCTGAAAAGAGACAACTATTACCGGTTTATCAAATTGATTTGTTAAGTAATAGTTTAAACGTTTAATTTCTTAACAAAAGTCAATAATTTGTTGAACTTCCATGGACAACGGTTTTTTGATACTTCTTCTAATGCCTATTTAATAACCGGTTTGATTGCATGGCTAAAAATAGCTTTCTCGGGAAATCCAAATTATAAAAAAGGCGAAACATTTACGGTCGTCTTCAGATCTACATGACAGAAATAAGTAGATCTGAACTTAATTCAGATTGGAAAAAGCATATATTAGTTTCAGCTATCAGTTCATTTTAAATACGCTTCAAAAGTAAAATTTTGGTAAAGATTTTGTTCAATGGGTCAAACATTTTACACTGATATCTCAAGTATAATTGTTAATAACGGTCATTCTCAGAATCTTTTACCATAGAAAGGGGTGTTCGACAAGGATGTCCTTTATCATCATTATTATTTATCGTATGCGTAGGAATTGTATCCAATTACATAGAAAAAGGTAGTGAAATAAAAGGAATTGAAGTCTAGTTTAAGATATAAAACAATCCTTCTTTGCTATGCAGATGATGTAATTTTCCTAAATGATAGCTCAGTGAAGTCTTTCGAATAACTATCTATGTGATTACAGAAATAACTAAAGTTTCCGGTTTAAAAACCCTTAATTCAAAACAATCAACAATTTTACGAGTCGGGTCATTTAAAGATACTAACATAGAATATTTTAAAAATAGGACATTCAAATGGTTATCTGATTTTGCACATTAATCATAATAACTTACAAAAAACTTTAACGTTCATCATAATAAGTTACGGAAACGAACGAAACACCTTCCGAAAATTAATTAGTCTCAGGTCAATATTGCCAAAAATACTTGCTTATTTACTAATGATAACAGTTTCTTGACAATATTGCTAAGCACGTTTGCTTCAAATATGATGTTCAAAAAAGATGATCCCTTAGAAGCATTAATCACAACAAAATTGCAGACTAGGTTTGATAGAGTGTGAACATTACTTCTATTATACACCGTTGATGTAAATAGCACATTTTAGGCGGGAATTGTCCTTTATTGTCTAAGTATGATTACGTTACGAAATAATTATTTTATTTATCTATTTGCATGTCGATGTACTATGCACAAGTCTTAAGTAAACGGCTGTTCTGTTCTGTACATTATACTGACTTTAAATTGACGATGCCAACAAGATTTTGACGCAAAAACATTCAGATCTTAGGACTAAATTATTTTATGATGGCGAGTGTTATATTATATTGAAATTTGGTGAATTTTGAAACTCAGGTATTTCAAAAGGATAAATGTCTTACCTGTATTAAATTTTGTTAGGAATTTACACGAATATGAATTTGGAAAGTGCATGCATTATGTTTTAACGACAACAACTGTTCAAATTGTCTCTAAATGATGTGCTTGCTCTAAAAGGAAAATAACCTGTATGAATGATAGGTGCAAGCGCTCTAGTTTGTTGTACAAGTTGTGTATTGTTGTATATATATATTGTTCTTTTAATTTTAAATTTTAAGTACATTAATGAAAAGCTTATGATATGGAAAAACCTTATTTACACTCAAAAGGTAATGTTTTCAACCCAAACATCATTAAAATTTGTCAGAAGGTTGTTTTGATCATTTCTAGCTCATGTTTGAATATGGGTCATCCGGGGTCACACAGACCATATAAATTATAGAAAAACCTAGTTATCGCCTTTGAATTGACATTTGTAGCCCAAATATCTTGATTACTTGTCAACAAGTTTGTTTGTATGATTTCTAGCTCAAATAACCTGAATTTATTTTAACTAGGTCACACATTCCATATATGGAAGACCATTGTTATCACTCTAGAGGCAATATTTTAGCCCATCTATATTGCTTATTTGTCAGCAAGGTTTGTTTTATGATTTCTAGCTCAAATATGAATATCGGTCATCTGGGATCAAAAACCAGGTCACCTTGCCCGAATATGAAAAACCTTGTTAAAACTCAAAAGGCTACCGTTTTAGTCCAAATGTCCTGGAAATTGGTCAAAAATTTTGTTTAGATATTTTCTGGCTCAAGATTGAATATCGGTGATCAGCAGTCAATAACCAAGTAACGTAGGTCAAATATGGAAAAACCATGTTTACACTGTGGAGGCAATTTATGTTCAACCAAAATATCCTGGAAATTGGTCAAAAAGGTTGTAAATGTAGAATATGGGTCTTTTAGGGTCAAAAGCTAGGTCATTCAGACAAAAAATGGAAAAGCCTAGTTAAAAATATGAAAGCAATATTTTCAGCTCAAAGCATATCAAATCAGGTGAGCGATAAAAATGTCATCATCGCCTTCTTGTTATTTTTCTGTATTGTGTTTTTTAAAAAAATTACATTGATAAAATAGGAAATGACTAACGTCGAAAAAAAAAATAATTCTGCACAAGGAAACATTGAATAATAATTTTACAGGTTTACTTAATTTGATAATAAATAATGATATTTTTACATATATTTATAAACAATTGATGTTATATTTTATTCATTATCAATGAATGATTGGTAAACAATTCCTTTTTATGTAAATATGTAGAATGATTAAAGGTAAAGTGTCCATTGGTGTTTAAATTGGACCTTCATTCTAACGCAGTTGTGCAATTTTGAGAAAAGTGGCGTATGATCCCCAAGTAAAAGAATGCGCGTGCCCTATTGGGGAAAAATGGCGAAATCAATTCAAATTGAATTTGAAAGGTTATCAGGGATGATTAAACAGGCATATCACAAAGTTTTAAAAGCAGGTTGCACTCCTAATAGTGGTTATTCAGCATTCGAGTAGGAATACTCGGACAAACAAACAAGAAAGAGATGAAATAGGAACACTATAAAAACAACAGTAATGTCGTGCAGAAAGATTTTCAAGGATTAAAAGTATAAAATCTGTGATTGAAAGTTTAGGCTTCAAACAACATTGATGCGATCAAACGGAATCCTACAAGAATACCCAAAACGGCAAAATTGAACGATGCTGTAGGCTCGGTTAGATAAAATCTATTCATGAACGATAGTGCTACGTGCATGCTACCGTCCACAATCCTACCATCTGCTAAAGTAGTATTTTACATTTATACATGATATTTGGAAAAAAAGATCATCTGAGGATGTGTTCATACGTTGGTATTTAGAAAACCTTCAATGTATTACGTTCGAGCCATTCCATTAAAAGCGACGCATGGTTCCAATGTGCCGTATTAAACCGTGTGGTTTCAAAATTAGCAAATAAACGTGCTTAAAGCTACTGATCCCTAGATGCTAAAATGAAGAAAGAAAGTGAAATAACATTTCAATTAAACGGTAAATAATGGTAAGTTTAATTTGTAAAACCATTATTACTGACTTCTTAATTCAAGAAAAAATGTTGACAAAAGCGTCAATACATCGTGTTTCTTCTCTACATTATCTGCTACGTTACTAATGTCATAGCCAATAAAAATAGGAGAAGATAACTCACTCAACGTGATCACGTGTTACAACAATGGTTCGGAAAAAGCCCGGTATCCGGGTATCAGGTTCACCCGGAGTAGAACATTAATGTTTGTCTGAGTAGGCCCTAATCATATTTCAGGCTAAAGTGTAAATCGACAAATAATAATTTTAGTGCCACAAATTTCCACAAATATCCCAACCAAAGCATTCTATTTGTGCCCCTCTATGTTTGATTCGATTGCAGATTCCCTGCGTTCCGGATCGCAGGTCGCGATATTGTTCTGTACAATCATGTGGTACAATTAAACAAAAGGGCCATGATGGCCCTGAGTCGCTCACCAGAAACAAGTGCTTTTCAGTGTTGGTATGTCAATATATTCTAATTTTAAATTTGAGCATAGAATAAATGTCCAAATAATACAATAATAACTTGAAGAAATCCCATGACCTGGGGTATTTAAGCTTTAGCTTAAACGGGGCTAATCAAATTAATATGAGCAAACTTGATAAAAGACTACCTAAGAATGCTACAAAGTTTGGTGATCATCCATCAATTATTTCAGTAGGAATGATGTTCCAAGGTTTTTTCTATTTTTAGCTTTAGTGGCCCCTACAAGGGGCTAATCAAATAAATATAAGCAAACTTGATAAAAGAGTACCAAAGAATGCTACAGACAAAGTTTGGTGATCATCCATCAATTGGTTCTGAAGTAGAAGATGTTTAAAGGTTTTTCTATTTTTAGCTTTAGCGGCCCCTAAAAAAGGCCAATTAAATTAATATGAGCAAACTTGATAAAAGATTACCCAAAAATGCTACAGACAAAGTTTGGTGATCATCCATTAATTAGTTCTGCAGGAGATAAAGTTTGAACGTATTTCTATTTTTAATTTTAGCGGCCCCTAAAGGGGGCTATTCGAAATTAATATGAGCAAACTTAATAAGCGACTACCCAATAATGCTACAGACAAAGTTTGGTGATCATCCATCAATTAGTTCTGTAGCAATAGACGTCTAAATGCATATCTATTTTTAATTTTAGCAGGCCCTAAAAGGGGCCAATTTAAATAATATGAGCAAACTTGATAAAAGACTACCCAACAATGCTTCAGACAAAGTTTGGTGATCATCCATCCATTAGTTCTGTAGAAATAGACATTTAAAGGTATTTCTATTTTTAGCGTAATCGGCCCCTAGAAAGGGCCAATCAAATTTATATGAGCAAACTTGATAAAAAAACTACCAAAGAATGCTACAGACAAAGTTTGGTGATCATCCATCAATTAGTTCTCTAGAATTAGACTTTTAACAGTATTTCTATTTTTAGCTATAGAGACCCTTAAAAGGGGCCAATCAAATTAATATGAGCAAACTTGATAAAACACTGCCCGAGAATGCTACAGACAAAGTTTGGTGATCATCCATCAATTAGTTCTGTAGGAGAAGATGTTTAAAGGTTTTTTTTCTATTTTTAGCTTTAGTGGCCCCTACAAGGGGCTAATCAAATAAATATAAGCAAACTTGATAAAAGAGTACCGAAGAATGCTACAGACAAAGTTTGGTGATCATCCATCAATTGGTTCTGAAGTAGAAGATGTTTTTAAAAAGGTTTTTCTATTTTTAGCTTTAGCGGCCCCTAAAAAAGGCCAATTAAATTAATATGAGCAAACTTGATAAAAGATTACCCAAAAATGCTACAGACAAAGTTTGGTGATCATCCATTAATTAGTTCTGCAGGAGATGATGTTTGAACGTATTTCTATTTTTAATTTTAGCGGCCCCTAAAAGGGGCTTTTCGAAATTAATATGAGCAAACTTAATAAAAGACTACCCAATAATGCTACAGACAAAGTTTGGTGATCATCCATCAATTAGTTCTGTAGCAATAGACGTCTAAATGCATATCTATTTTTAATTTTAGCGGGCCCTAAAAGGGGCCAATTAAAATAATATGAGCAAACCTGATAAAAGACTACCCAACAATGCTTCAGACAAAGTTTGGTGATCATCCATCCATTAGTTCTGTAGAAATAGACATTTAAAGGTATTTCTATTTTAAGCGTAATCGGCCCCTAGAAAGGGCCAATCAAATTTATATCAGCAAACGGTCATATGGGGGTTGCGTTCATTGAACGCCGCCTTTCCTTGTTGATCTTGTTTTTCATATTTGATAAAAAAAACTACCAAAGAATGCTACAGACAAAGTTTGGTGATCATCCATCAATTAGTTCTCTAGAAATAGACTTTTAACAGTATTTCTATTTTTAGCTATAGAGACCCTTAAAAGGGGCCAATCAAATAATATGAGCAAACTTGATAAAACACTACCCGAGAATGCTACAGACAAAGTTTGGTGATCATCCATCAATTAGTTCTGTAGGAGAGAATGTTTAAAGGTTTTTCTATTTTTAGCCCTAGAGACCCCTAAAAGGGGCCAATCAAAATAATATTGGCAAACTTGATAAAAGACTACCTAAGAATGCTACAGACAAAGTTTGGTGATCATCCATTAATTAGTTCTGTAGAAATAGACGTTTAAAGGTTTTTCTATATTTAGCTTTAGCGACCCCTAAAAGGGACAATAAAATTCATATGAGCAAACTTGATAAAAGACTACCCAAGAAAGCTACAGACAAAGTTTGGTGATCATCCATTAATTAGTTCTGTAGAAATAGACGTTTAAAGGTTTTTCTATTTTTAGCTTTAGCGGCCCCTAAAAGGGCCAATCATATTCATATGAGCAAACTTGATAAAAGACTACCCAAGATAGCTACAGACAAAGTTTGGTGATCATCCATCCATTAGTTCTGTAGAAGAAAATGTTTAAAGGTTTTTCTATTTTTAGCCCTAGAGACCCCTATAAGGGGCCAATAAAATTAATATGAGCAAACTTGATAAAGGACTACCCAAGAATGCTACAGACAAAGTTTGGTGATCATCCATTCATTTGTTCTGTAGAAATAGACATTTAAATGTATTTCTATTTTTAGCTTAAGCGGCCCCTAAAACTTGAGAGGGTCTTCTTTCCATCCATTAGTTCTGTAGAAGAAGATGTTTAAAGGTTTTTCTATTTTTAGCTCTGCTGACCCCTATAAAGGGGCCAATTGGAATGACTTGAGCAAATTCAAGTGTGACTGTCACAAGGATGCTACAGACCAAATATGAAGTAAATCTGCTTAGTAGATTCAGAGAAGAAGACGATTGTTGATGCATGACGACGGACGACGGACGACGGACGCCGGAGCATCCCCCTTTGATACTAATAGCTCACCCTGAGCCTTCGTCTCTTGTGAGCTTTAAATCGATGAAGGAATTCCGTAGTATATTAAAAAGAATGTTAATTCCATTAGCGAAGAAAACTGGTAGTTTTCATAGCAAGAATGTTAAAATATGAACATTTTGAAGTGTCATTTAGATTTCTTTAAACTATATAATGTTTTTGAGGATGGAGATCTCATATTATTAAGCCTGCATTTAAATGACACAACTTTTAAACGATACATTTTAAATTTTGGAAACATATCTTTAGGACAATTGTGCAGTATTGAAGTACGAATACTTAAATCACTTAACTCAAAACAGATCAGATAGCAAATATTTGAGATACCAAATACATACAAAAATGTGCTGAACGATCTTCTAGAACCGAAAACATCAAAGTCTTTGATTGACTTTTTACAGTCCTTACGCGCCAAAACAGCACTGATGAGAAATAAATAAGGTAAGATACGGAAAATGTAATACCCAAATAATTGTTAAAACAGAAAAAGGAAAACTTATGTTGTGGTATTGGAACTCAAGTAACATTTATATTTCATATAGAAATTTATATAAATAAAATAAATAAACATTACTACCTTTTTTTCAAGGGCCTTCTTAAAAAGTGGCATCATGGATTTAACTACATGCATAGCAGTATCTTGGTAGCCAATCATCAAACCATGCGTCCTCATATGCTGATTTTGAGCATCATCTGCAGTTTTTCGAACCTTAAATATATTTTATAAATCAAAGTAAAAAACTAGACCAAATTATGCTTGTTTAATAATTGAACTATCGACAAAAGTAACAACCACCAAAGACTGGCTCAAACAACTTATTAAAATGAACGTTTTGAATTATTTTTAAAACAGGAGCTTGAATGACTTAAGTAGAAATAACAGTAATAACTTGTTATACCTTTCGTGCTAATATTGGGTCTTCTTTCAATGCCAAATATGCAAGTTCAAGGAATCTTGCTGCTTCCTTTTGTGCATAATATAATTCAAATAAAAGGTTTCTCTTAAATGCTTTTGATTCCATCTCAGATGATCCTGATTCCGTCTCAGATGAAGCCTGAAAAATAATAACCTTAAAATCAGACCCTATATCTGTATAGTATTGTATTTGCGTCACTACTTTTCATAATCAAGTTTATCTGCAGAAAAAAGGATACCATTATTTGAAACAATATTGCTCAACCTTTTTACATCTATATATATATATATATATATATATATATATATATATATATATATATATATATATATATATATATATATATATATATATATATATATATATATATATATAATATATATATATATATATATATATATATCTATTTAAGCGTTATTTCGTGCCTGACAGCACATTATCACGTAACTATGTAGTTTATGCTGTGGTGACGTGATTTCAAAAACAAATATGCACATTTTAAGGGCACCACAAAGGCGTTTCAATTAGGGAAGAAACTTTTCTTACAAATGATGACACTATATGACTTCCAAAACAAAGGAATGTTTACCCTAAATGCATAATTCACAATATATTTACTACGGTCTACTTGTACAGCGTGTATCGAGCGTTTGATTATTATTCTATAATTACAAAATAAAATCACAATATTCTCAAAAGCAAATATATATTTTTTCTTGGGATACTTATCCGGAATGATTTGAAATATTCAAATATAATTTTTTCTTGTGGTATCTTAACTTTTTGATAAGATATCAACTTATAAAAAATAATATTATTCCAGAAATAATAAAGTGCAAAATAACAATCTAAAACTAATTCTTGAATTATCCAAAATATATATTTCAAGAAGCAATTACTCTATTCACACTAACTGTCAAACAAACAAAAATTTATATTCTTAAACCTTTCTCTTATTTCTTACATTAATATCTCAAATCAACAATCTCTTATCTCAAATAAACGTTCAAAAGCCAATTCTTATAATAGTATCTTAAAAATAAAATATTCTTTATCAAACATTTGTCCAAGGGGTTTTACTTAAGCAATAAAGCATTTTCCGTCATACTTGTCAATGCTTTATGCCAAATATTGTGGCAAAGAATTTATCCACAAAAATATAAGATGCGTTTTTCTCTATCTTAGTCTATCAAATGCAAGTGATTCCGGGGTAGGACGAATTATGACCTAATGGTCATGATTTATATCACTTTAAAATTATAGAAATCTACAAATTGGTGTGATAAATGCCAAATATCTAAGCGCTATCCTTTGTTGTTTCGCAAAATCGAGTACGATTAATATCAATTTAACAGATTTCGCAAGATAATGCTACGTGCTAAATATTGTAGCTCCTGGTATTGAAGTTTCACCAAATAAGACTGTATGTTTTCTCCTACAAGTATTACAAAACTATAAAAACTCAATGAGCCAACATTGACCTAAGGGACATGATTAATACCAGTTATGTAGATGCCAAACTTGAGCTTGACCTGCGCATTCTTTTGACGTATCCATAATTCAAATTTAAGTTAAATGTGTAATACCGTTTGGGAAATAATAAACGGAAACTGAAAATGTCATATTATTTTCAAAGTGAAAGGGGCATGACTCTGCCAAAAATCATCGAACCATGACCAAATTGGAACTTTGTGCATTTCTTCGACATATCCATATGTCAAATTTGAGTTGAATGTTTAATACTGTTGGTAAGATAATGAACGGGAAACTGATAATTTCATATTATTTTCAAAGTAAGGGGCATAACTCTGCCAAAAATCATTGAACCATGACCAAATATGAAGTTGACCTGCGCATTCCTTTAACGTATCCATATGTCAAATGTGGTTGGGGAGATAATGAACGGAAACTGAAAGTATCTTCAAAGGGCATAACTTTGTCAAAAATCATCAGACCATAACCAAATTCGAACTTGACCTGTAATTTAATATGAGATATCCATATGTCAAATTTGAGTTGAATGTGTGCAACCGTTACTAAGATAATGAACGGAAAGTAATGATGACGGAATGACGGAACAGAGTAGCACTATATGCCCCAGCCTTGATATGGCGGGGGCATAAAAAGAGAGAAATAAAGAATTCTTGAAGAACCTTCAAAGCGGTAAAATTGATAATGTTGCTGACTCTGTTAGATTGAACCTGTTCCTGATCGGAACTGATAAGTACAAGCTTCCGCCAACGCCCCATAGTACCAGCTTAAGCAGAATAAACATTTAATATAAAATGGCTAAATGTTGAATTAGAAACATCCGCAGATGTGTTCATCTGATAAGTTACATATTAATGTCACTGAACCATGACATGTAATTAGGGTTTTAGGGATTTTGTAAGTGAAAGAAAATGTAATTACCATATTTAAAATTTCCCTTTTCTAAGAGAAATGCGATCAGTGATCACACGTGTCGTCTAATGACAGCCAATTGCATGTCAGAGCTGTGGAGTAGAAGCAACACAAATCATTAACAGGCAAAACGCGTTTTTTTTTTGTTTATGTGCTCACCTAAAGATTGTTCACCCGGTAAACCCGTTTAACATGCGCAAGTACTTAAGGTAACAATCAATCATGTAAGGGTTCATTTAAATTACTTTAGTAGTATAAGAGATGTACTCTAGACAAAACTTAGAAATAGTAAAAATTATTAAAGATCCATAACTCTGACCCAAAAAATCATTGCAAATGCCGACGACATGCACAACTAGACTTAGTGCTGATCATTCTAGTAACGTTTCGATGAAATTGCACTAGTATTTACTGAGATGTCCGGACAAGTTTTGTAACGGACGGGCAGACCGACCGAAAGACAGCAACGGAGAAGTGATCCCTTTATGGCGACATAAACAGGGAATGTCTTGTTTTGGAAATGTTGGTCAACTGGTTACCTGCTTCGTTTCCGCTCCAAAACTAGTGAACCATTAGACCAACAGTCTTCGCATTTCATAGGATGTTCACCCTCTTTTAGCAGAAGCGTGAAGGTCACGGTAACGGTGACCTTGAATGTGAAAATAGTTTCCGCTCAATAGTAAATATAACTGTTTAATACATGTGAACTTGGAAAGAACTAGATTTTACTCACAGAAATAGTTTTGTTTTTTAAATCTATGATCCAGTTTATTCAAGACATCAATACAAATCAAAGACGGACGAGTTCTGAATAGATAATTACCCTCCGGCCATTATTTAATCAAATTTTCAATTGATTACTTCTCAAATTTCTTGGCCGTACAACTTGTTCCAACAAATTATTTTCTCGGGTCAAACTTAACTTTCTTTTTCTAAGGGAGTGTAGGTTCGGCCGACTTCATAAAACTAAGGCTTTTTTTAATAGCTTCTTTTTATTATAATGAATTGTGTGCATGTTGATAGCGACGACATAGACGTAAGGTGTCATTAACATAGACGTAAGGTGTCATTGTTTGCACTGTTTTAATTTGTTCACATAACTGATTTTGTACTGACATCAGTTGTATATATTATTTTTCAAGCTTCGCCATTTACTTGAGCAGTCACCAATAAATATAGAAGCCCAGCTTTTATATGATGTTGGTTGACTATAAGTTGTTAAAGCTGTGTCCGTTTCGTCAAGTGTTTTTGTAATATAATTTGTTTCATTGATTAAGTTGATCACCATATAAACATTAATCATTTCTTAATCTACTTAATCAATGGTACGTTTACTATAAGAAAATTTATATGTATTTGACACTGTAAATAGAAGTTGAAAGCACTTCTCAACATCACATAAAAGCTTGGCTTCTATATATAGGACGTATTTCTAAAGTCGACGGTCTGCAACTAGAGCAATTATATCCTATCATTGTATTCCCCAAATAACCCAGGTTTTGAAGGATTCACCCTAGATAAGTGACGATTCGCCCTACTTCAATATAATCATTGAAGACGTCCTTCAAATTATCAAAATTAAGAAATAATAACATTAATTCTTTTTCTATATTTGTGCATTTAAATGTTCCCTATCTTTATCTTAAAGAACAGAAATTGACCATTTTAACTGTTGCTTTTACAATATTAAAACTGATAACAGTTCGCCCTCAGTTCAGTGACGTTTCGCCCAGCTTCAGTAATCATCATAGTATCATGTTTTTAATAAGTTTCCTACAGGAATGTTTACGTTAGATATATATTCTTTGTATTTGCTGATAAAGATAAGTTTTCCAGTGGTGGTATGCGTTGAAACACTACATCTTATGTTAGTTTAAGGCCCTAAGCTTTTTTTACAAATATTTAGAAAATGACAAAATATATACTTTAGCATTCATATAAACTTTCAACACTGTATAACAATCTGTTTTGAGTAACAATTATCACAAATCAAACTATTATTACGTATAAAGAACATAAACCTAATTCATTACTTATTACTCTAAAAGATAAATGAAAATGATACAAACGGAACGAGTAATTGTAAATTCTGTTAAACTGATATTTTTCATATTCCATCTCATAATCAATTGTAATTTATAAAAAGTATACAAAAAAGCAAGAAATACCTAAACTATATGTTTTCTTCTTTACCAAATTAAATATAAAATGTTTAAATAAATGTGATGAGAATCGTCACCAAATTAGGGCGAATCGTTCGCGTATTGTTTTATTACCTCGTCAATGAATAAACACTTTGACTTGTTCGTACATTTGCACTTGGTGCATAATGAGGTTTACGATGGAGGAGTTTACACTGAATTTGTCGGATCAAACTAGTTCTCAAAACAAAATAGATATTTCAATGCGTTTAAGATATATACATTCGATACTTTTAAAGAATTGAAGTTTAATTTCATTCATTCATTAATTTTAATGTCCCCGCATTTTCGAAAAATTCGGAAAAAAGTTGGATATAGGAAAGGCTCCGTTCATTGGTCCGTCCGTCCGTCAAACTTTCGTGTCCGGTCCATAATTTAGTCATTTATCAAAGGAATTTTAAATTACTTGGCAGAAATGTTTTTCATAATAAGACAATGTGTCACGCGTATCACCCGAATCCCTATATTCAATAGTTTAAACTATAATAACTTTCTCATCTATCATGGGATTTTGAAAATATTTGGCATAAATGT